CCTATATACAAGGCTAGCGATGGAGATGGTATAAGGGGAAAATATGAGTGTAAATGCATAGAAATAGGAAGCCACAGCGTGAGTCACAATCATTATGGGAACTGCATACCAAAAACAAATGTAATGTAAAAGCTGATTGGACTGTTTAGGATGCAGTCCACTTCTCGGCCAGGAAAATCACTACGGCTCGACAAGACAGGGGTATCTATCTTAGAAAGTAACTCGCCATTTTAAGTAATGAGTTTCTTACTGTGGGGGTGATAGGCGAGCCAGCCAGGCCAGACACGCTCTCTCAAAGTAATGCTTATTCCATTACAGGTAGAAATGTTGTTTTGAAGATAACGTGCAAAAGAATAACATTTTACTATATAGTTTAAAATAGATATAAAAAGTTAAAGAAATAGAATATGGTGTCTGCAGATATGTGTGAATTTAGACACATTTGATGCAGTAACCAAACAGTAGCAGATTATTTCAACACTTCCCAATGAATGTGATAGTATTCAACAGAAAAGCACGTCCTAAATACAAATATATGTGTTTCTTTTTATCTTGCCATTTTTTTAATGGAAGATATGGATTCACTGTATGTCTGCGCTTTTGTCAACAGTTGCTTTTATTAAATAGGCAATATTGTTTTCTTTTTTTAACTTGTAAGTGAAATGGCGAGTTCATATACAACTGAAGGAGACTATTTAGCATCTCTCCAAATTGAACATGACCTGACTTATTTACAGACACACAGAATTGACAACAGTTCTCATCCAGACCAGCCCCAATCCCTGTGTTAATCTGATGCAGCACGTGTGGTGTCATCACTCAGGGAGAAGGAGGAACAAGAAACACCAAAGAAGAAGTCTCTTGTTGTATACCAGTATAAAGTTGGTTTAAAACGGATATTTTCCACCTTCACTTTTTGTAATATAATTGACTAACAATAGCTACAAAAGTGATTTCAACAACACTCGAGTGGCAAGGTGGCGGAGTTTGCATTTTCTACAAGTGTTTGCATAGGTTTCCTTCGGGTGCTCCGGTTTCTGCTACCACTAAAAATGTACAACAATAGGTGAAATCCTCCAGCTCTGGTATTCCTGACCAAGTCAAGCATCAACATCTGGAGATGGGTCCCCGGGGAGCAGTGATGTGGCGGCCACTGCTCCGGACAGAGGCCTACAGTGGCCTTGCAGGATGCAGAGGACAAATTTCCCAAAGGGACAATAAAGTATAACTTATTTCAAGTCACACTTGCAGTAAATGAATTACAAACCAGTCTTGTCTGCCGTATCTCTCTAACCATGTGTCAACTCGCCCCTAAGCTTTCGGCTACAGCTGGTGCATGGTATAATGATGAGCATCCTTGGTTTTTTGGATGATTCATTTTCCAAACAATTATATCGGTTGTATTCACACTCCCATGCAATACAAACATAAAGGAGTTGCAGGTGAAACCCGGAAAAAATACAATATCGTTAATTTTCCCAGTTTCACTTGTATGAATAAAATATAAGTTTAATTTAGGAAACCAAAGCACACTTAAGCTAAATAGACATGTTATAAATGAATAAAGTGAAAGATATAATTTTATTCTGTTCCATATGCACGACATCTTTGACTCGAGCAGGCGACACAATCCATCAGTTGAAATGGTTCAATGGTTCAGCACCCTGGAAACTTAACTCAATTATACAATCAGACCAAATGTTATGGTAAAGACAAGGACTTATGGCGCACTATTATTCAGCTAATGCAATCTACAGCCAAGGCCAACGCGGCGGCTGACCCTCGCCGCCATAACCTTTGCAGACCGCGGGGGACTGTGGCGCCCCGTGCACATCAACAACGAGCATTTTCGACGTTTCTGCTTCATAAAGACACAGCACAGGACAGAGAAAAGGTCATCGTGCGGAGGGTAAATCATTTCCTCTCACAAATGAAGAGGTCAGATGGAAAAAAGGGGGGTGGCACTTTTGACTGTGACATCGCTTGGCTTCAGAAATGTCAGAGCAGAAAAGCAGCGCAGTGTGTAATACAATTGTACCTGTGACGAGATGAAAGGAGATAGAGAAATCAAAGACATTGAAGTTATGACGTGGGTTAGGGCCGACACAACAGAAAGAAATAACTCTGTACCGGATCAATCGTTATAGCTATTTTGATTTCGTTTTGTTGTTTGTCCGTGTTGTATCGTAGTGTGTGTCTTGTGTTAGAATGGCTGAAAATATCTACTGTATATATATTGATGTGTTCAATTTAAACAACTTGGTCAATTTTTTTAAAAAAAGGTCACGTTTACTTTCTACCTTTTCAAGACACTCAGCGCTTCACATGAAGGAACCATTCACACAGCAGTGTACACAGACTCTAGGGGTTAGGGAGGGTAAAGTGTCTTGCCCAAGGACACACAGCAGTTCTTGTCTGGGTCTAACTAAAAGGACAGTGGTGATGATCCACGACACTCAGCATTCAACAATTTTTTTTGTACATTTATCAACATTTGTGCACATTTGTCATCTGTCCCTTATGGACCAATGGCTCTTTGTGTTTTTTAAATTTAATTATTGCATTTCTTCTGTTTGATTCTCTGATCTGTGTTGGCGATTTCAATGATTTTGTTAAGTCCTCTGAGATAACTACTGTTGTAATTTAGGGCCATACAAGAATACATTGAATTGAATTTAATTTAATTTAATTAATTCTGAGACTAAACTAAGACTCTTTCAAGTTGAATTTTTATTTTATTTATTTTATGACAGTACATATTAATCAATGTGATGCCAAACAGTGTCAACATAAATATGCTTTAACTAGCATAATCACGAAATTACATTCATTGTCTTAAGGCAGGTAGAAACATACAAACACATAGTCAGGCAACAGTACAAACAATAACTCGACAAGCACAACGTAAATATTTTAAAAGAGAAGCGAAAGAGTTTCCTGATATGTCTCCTTTTATAGTCTTCATACAGACTCTCAAAACAATGTGTTTTGTCTGTAAAACAAACCTGAATGTGAATTATCTCAAGGCCTGTGTGATTGTAGAATAAAAAAGGATTTTAAGCATAAACTCATGTATGGGGGTATAGCTCAGTGGTAGAGCATTTGACTGCAGATCAAGAGGTCTCTGGTTCAAATCCAGATGCCCCCTTCTTACATGAAATAAAGTTGCAAAAAGAAACCATTTCATTATTATGGAATCGGTTATTTTTTTAATTATTGTCCACCCGTAACTCGCACAAATCCACCTCTCACGCTGTCCCATTTTCCCTTGACAGTTTTTTACAGTCATGTGTGGTTGCGGGCCCAGGGCAGTGTTGACATTTTGCTGCTATCAAAGCCATTTCAATGTGTGAGAACAGAGCAGCGTGTGGGCTGGGGTCAAGATAAACATGCCTTCACCGCCACTGAAAGAATATGGACTGAACCGGTACATCTGAAAATGTGAGGAAGAAAAAAAAGCTTGTGGTGTCCATATCACAACTTTGGCTTCAAGTTCGAGTCAATTCTTAGAGCTGGAGAACCTGATTTTGGTTCGGTAACTATCTTTTTTATTTTTTTTATACCATTCCGATGAAGGGTGAGAACTGTTTGATTCTCTAATCTGTGTTGGCTAATTTGACCATTTTAAAAAGTCCTCCCAGAAAACTACCGTTGTCATTTAGGGCAATACAACAATAAATTGAATTGAATTGAATTAAGCATGCCTTTGTTGGCCTGTCACATAATAACCAGCTTTAAGACAGAAAAGTGAAAGAGAGAGGACAGGTTTACACTAGAGTTAGAGATTTTAATTCAGTATAAACTAAATCATTTTTTCTAGTATGACGAACACAGCATGTTGTTGCCTGACTTTGCCTTTACCAAACTCTCTCTATTGGGACAAAAAGCATGTATTATTTATCAAACAACAAAATGAGGTACCCCCGCTTTAAGTTCAACGGCAACAAGTCAAAACCAAATCCTCTAAAATCCAGGTAAATTTAAGACAAAACAGAACAAACAAAGATGTGGCCGTCAGCTGCAGGTGTTTCAATCAATCCAATCTCGGTAACAGAGTGTTCTTGGAAAACAGGGGAATTCTCAAAAACAAAACTAAAGGGAGGCTTGATTAAAAAGACTCCAACCAGGGCCAGCATGCCTCGACTCTGAAACAGTCCTCATTAGTGCTGTGTGTTGTGTTTAGAGGTGCTCGGATTTTTAAAAACACTGTCCGTCTCTTTTAAAAAAAAAATTAAATGTGCCAAAAAGCGGCTTATATACGTTTTAGCAATTCAGAATTCTTCTTAAATTAAGACGTGAAATTGTTCTTCTTTACAAACTTCAATTTACTGAGTCTTGGGTCTAGTCAATAAAATCTCAAATAATATGTTTGTGAATGAGAAAGTATAGAAAGCAGTTGATATAATACCTGCTAGTCCATCAATCTATTTTTGTGACTTATTTTAAGTTATTTCTCACTTTTTAAGAAATTCAAGTCATTTTAATTCATAAAAAATTAGCCCAAATTTGTCCGTCATTATACAGCACATACGAACTTAACATAACTTCCTTCACATCCTGCTAATAAGTTCCTTTTGACCAACTGGGAATATAATTAACCATCCTCCAGATAAGGGGTTTTTAATTGCACTTAAGCGCAGTGTGATTGTGTGGGCAGCAGGAGGAGCACTAAAGCATTAGACGAGATCAAAGTCATTAAACTTTGAGGAGAGACTAATTTATCATCCGGATTTAGTGGATCAGCAAAGCACAGACGGGTGTCACAAAGTCAAATGTGTGCTGAGAGGTCTCAAAATGGCGGCGTAGAGATAAGTCACGTTCGGGAGTGCTGGTGAAACACATCGCTGATACTATCGACTAACCCTACCAAGCGCTTCGGCTCTGTTTACCTAGGAACTCCCTTGGTGAAAATGAGCATTAACACATATTTTCTGAGACAAGAGAGACGGTCACGGAGGAATAGCCCAGCTTCAAGAGCCTCCGAAGGGCAGCAAGCTAGCATGATGGAGGAGAATGCTAATGTTGCTAACGAAGAGGAGCTGCATGCTAGCGCAGCTCCGGGGACAGATTCTGATATCCGTGTTGCACTACGCGAAGTGGTACATGAAGTGACTTCAAATGTAACGAAACTTATGGAGGAGAAGTTGGCGCCCGTGTTAGAGCTATTGAAGAAGCACGGCGGCACTCTGAATGACCATGAGGCGCGGCTGGCTGAAACGGAGCTGAGGATTGGAGCCCTGGAGGATGCGGCAGACCCGATCCAAACCAAGATCGGAGACTTGGAAAAGACTGTGGACTTTTTAGTTGAACGTGTTGACGAGTTAGAGAACAGGGGGCGGAGGATGAATATCCGAATACTGGGGGTCCCTGAAGACGTGGAAGGGACTGATCCGACGCGCTTTTTCGAGCACTGGCTCCCGGAGGTGCTACTTATGCGAACGAAGAACGGACGGATAAAACTGGAGAGAGCACACCGCACTCTCGGCCCCAAACCCTCGCCTGCACAGAGGCCAAGACCAGTAGTTGCCAAGTTCAGTTTTTGTTCTTTTTGGCCCTTTTTTTGCTATTTTATCTGTAATTTTAAAAATATGCCCATGTCTGACCATTTTCGTTATTAACCATATTTATGTCGGGACTTAAATTGTGCACTTGGAATGTCAAGGGGATACATTCGCCAATTAAACGTAGAAAGGTTTTAAATTATCTTAAAAAGGAGCGTGTACAAATAGCCTTATTGCAAGAGACACATTTAAATGACAGTGAGCATCTAAAACTTACACAGGGGGGGTTTAGTGAAGTTTATTTTTCATCTTTCACATCAAGAAGCCGGGGTGTGGCAATTTTGATACAAAGAGGTATTCCCTTTAAACTTATTGACTCTATAAAGGACAGATCAGGTTGTTATATCATCCTGAGGGCTATTATTTTTGGTGAAGAACTTACAATATTAAATGTGTATAATCCACCTGGCTACCCAACACATCTCTTATCCTCCGCTTTTACCAAGGTTATTAACCTTGGTAGCAAACATACAATTATAGGAGGTGATTTTAACTGCCATCTTAATCCTATTATAGACAAATCTCCACCTGGCAGTCTATCGCTTTCCTCTTGTGCCAAGTATGTTAATGCATTTTGTGAAGACATGGATTATACTGATGTGTGGAGAGCGCAGCATATCTCTGATAAAGAATATACATTTTTCTCAAATGTCTCAAAGTCATCTACTAGAATTGATTATTTTTTACTTCCCAGATCTCTGTTGCATTCAGTTATTCAGTAATTTCATGACCTATTAATTGATCCTCTGTCGGATATGTTTAATGACTCCCTGGCTAAAGGTACACTACCCCAATCCCTGAGGGAGGCAGACATCTCCTTGATTCTGAAAAAAGGTAAAGCCCCAGAAGAATGTGCCTCATATAGACCTATTTCATTACTAAACGTCGACATGAAAATTTTGTCTAAATTGTTAGCAATACGGCTTGAAAAGTTACTGCCCATCTTAATTAATGAAGACCAGACTGGATTTATAAAAGGTCGAAGTTCTCATAACAACATGCGCCGGCTACTTAATACAATTCAACATTTTCAACACCACTCACGGAGTGGTCTGGTGCTCTCTTTAGATGCAGAGAAAGCCTTCGACCGCGTAGAGTGGTCATATCTTTTCTACACATTGAATAAGTTCGGCATGGGAGCTACCTTTATAAACTGGATCAAAATCCTGTATAAAAATCCTCTCTCGGCAGTACTTACAAACGGACTACGCTCTCCCTACTTTGCTATTTCTAGAGGAACTAGGCAAGGTTGCCCTCTGTCGCCGCTGCTTTTTGCCTTGGCAATAGAGCCGCTGGCGGAGGTCATCAGGATGAATGACAGTATAAATGGCCTCAAGATTGCCAATAGGGAGCATAAAATTACTCTCTATGCTGATGATGTTCTAATTTTTACAACAAACCCAGAGACATCAATTCCGTGCCTCATTGAGATAATTAATGCTTTCAGTAGTTTTTCAGGTTACAAGATTAATTTCACCAAATCCGAGGTTATGCCTCTGGGCCCTTTGACCTCAAAACAAATACCTTTGGGATCTTTCCCTTTTAAGTGGTCCCCGGAGGATTTCACTTACTTGGGAATACGTATAACACCTAAAGTTGAATGTATGTATAAAGCTAACTTCCCCCCATTATTTGACCGCATTCGGCTCGATCTGGAGAGATGGAATGCGCTTCCTCTCTCCTGGATGGGCAGAATCGCACTATTAAAAATGAATGTTCTTCCTAGGCTACTTTACCCATTACAGATGGTTCCTGTCTTGCTGTCTCGCAAAGTAATTAAACAATTAAATGGCTGGTTCAGCTCCTTTATATGGTCTAAAAGAAAAGCACGACTTAAGATAGCTATGCTGTGCCGTCCTTCAGCAGAAGGAGGTCTTGATCTCCCAGATATTAAACATTACCAAATTAGCACACATTTGCGCATCATATCCGATTGGGTGCATAACAAACCCACGTCATTGTGGATAGATATAGAAAGCTCTATGTCCACATGTTCATTAGCAAATGTATTATTTCTTCGAAAGACTAGATCCTTAAAGCTAGCTTGTTCCAATCCCATTACTCTCGCAACAGCTAATGCATGGCGAATGGTTAGAAAGCTAGAAGGACGGTTAAATACTATTTCTTGTCTCACGCCTATATGGAAAAATCCAGAGTTTGTGCCAGGTATGTTTGATAACAGGTTTCAAATTTGGGCACATAAGGGGTTATCTAAACTGCAGGATTTGTTGGAAGGACCTACTCTTATGTCATTTGATCAGCTACTTGGAAAGTATGACATCTCAAGGAGTGATTTTTACCAGTATTTGCAGGTGAGGGACTTCATACGAAAGAATACTGCAGATTTGACATTTCAGGATATTTCAGACACTGAGAGACACATTTTTTTAAACAAATCAGTTGGCTCTATTAAGATATTTTATAACATCCTTAAAGGGCTTTCACCCGTGAGCACTACGCACTTGAGGGAGCTGTGGGAAAAGGAGCTTGACTGTGCTATTACCAGGGATGATTGGGAAAATATTTGGGGTAATGTGAAAACACTGTGTGTTTGTAATAAAGTAAGAGCAACTCAGCTTATGATTCTCCATAGAGCCCACATCTCTCCGTACCTACGTCACAAGTTTAAGCCTGACTCCTCTCCACTATGCCTGAAGTGTAAAGTTGAGATAGGCACCCTTACACACTGCTTTTGGTCCTGTGTTAAAACAAAACATTTTTGGCAAGTGATTGGACAGGAAATGGGAAAAATATTTTCTCTTAATTTGAACTGTAACCCTCTGTTTTTGTTGCTTGGTTTGACTGACCCTGTTATCAAAGACAAATACCATAAGAAACTGTATAGATTGCTTACTTTTTGTGCCAGGAAATGTTTGCTGATTAACTGGATTTCGGACCAGATTCCCACAAGGACACAATGGCATAGAACTGTCTTCGGCTACATCTCCCTTGACCATCTGACTTGTCGACTGAATCATAGGGACGAGGTCTTTCGTAAGACCTGGGAGCCTTTCCTAATATATATTGGACTGGAGTTATCCGCTATTGTCAAACGGGCATTCGCATTCTGATGTGAAATTTATTTTTGTTCGGGCCAATGTTTGTTTGTTTGTTTGTTTGTGTGTTTGGTTTTGCATTATTGACTTACTTTTTAATTCTGTTTATTGTCTTTTGTATGTATGTTTATGTAAAATTTAAAATGTCAATAAACACATTATTTAAAAAAAAAAAAAAAAAAAAAATGTGTGCTGAGGCTTTTGAGTGAAGAATTATGGGGATTTTAGTTTTTCAATAGTTATTAATTAGCCATATAAGAATAGCCTGGTATTGCAACTTTTTTTGTCTAATTCTTTGGTTGCTTGACATAAAAATGGATTCATTGATACATATGGCAACTTCTACAAAATTTATATTTTTTCCAAAGCAAAAATTCTTACACTTCTGTTTTACTTTTGTGAATTTTAAGACTGCATTTGACTTAAACCTGCACTAACTGACTTTGGGATTTTGAAGCAGCGATTTCGCCGGCCTCGCTCTTTTTTCCTCCCCTCCCTACACCCACGAAGCTAACGCCCCCCACTACCCCACACCCAGAGCTAGCGTCTCATGGATAGATCCATGTATGGATTGCACATTTGCACGTGGATGGCGTGACCATAGAATGATATAACCGGGAAGCGCGGAGAGGACGAGACTTTCTTTTGGTTGTTTCGCTGTGTAAGCAGTAACCGGAAACGAAGACACGGGCAGTTTCAGGTTAGCCTCCGCCGCTTGTTGTGCTAACTCAGCTGTCTGTGCTAACAAGAGACCTGTAGCTTTTCTCAAGAAAGTGGGGGCCAGTGGTCCGCTGTGATTGGTCACAATTGGGATCCGACACTCAATCTCTTCCTTGTTGCTCGATCTAAAATCATATGACACACCAGCACAAATCTGCGCTACTTTTTCTTCAAAAGGACTTATATCCCAAAGCATTGCATGGATATGGATTGCATTTTCGTAATGAATACAAAAATAAAGTCAGTTAGTGCAGCTTTGATAATTCAACTAAAATTGAGGAAAGACATCTTATACAAAAAAATCCTAGTTTTTGACTTCCTGTACTTACATTGGCAATAAACAAATTCTGATTCTGAAAACTATTACATGACTGACCCAAAATGCACCCACAACTGCGCAGGAGTAGAAAGGCTTTCCAAATTGTTATGTAAAAAAGATAAAGCTTTGAGCTGGAGTAGCCCATTGTCAAATCATCAAACATTAAACAATGTAATAAAATCCATCCATCTAGTTCCTTGTTCTCAACGCTTTTTACATTGTATTTTTGCCCTCTGTCACATCTTTAGATCAGCTTTTCAGACACAAACATGAAAGAGAGGACCACCCACCCTGAACCAATCAGCTCTCAGCCCAAAGCGTCAACTAATCACTCACAGTTGATTTCAACACTTTCATTCAAGATAACATGTCTTCCAAAAATATGATTCAGATTCAGATTCAGTTTATTTGCCATTTGCAATAAAAAAAAAACACATTGGAATACATTAGCAAGTCTCCAGTGTGCACAGACAAATACAGACATAAAACAACATTAAAAGACAGAAATAAAACAAATAAAACAGTAAACAAATGTCACTGTGAAATCGATCGACTAAAACAGTTTCAAAACAAGTGCAAATCATTAAAGTGCTCTGTTCACACTGATAACAGCTTGTGGATAAAAACTGTTAGCGTAACGAGATGTCCTGCATCTCAGAGAGCGATATCTTCTGCCAGAGGGAAGAAGCTGGAACATGGCTTTTCCAGGGTGGCCAGAAGAGTCATTGACAATCCTAAGAACTTTGTTTAAATTGATAACAGTTCAA